ACTAATAAAACCTCCAGGACACTGAAACCTGTCCCTCCATATAAGTTATACTCCCATATTACCTCCCTTACCCTTCTGCTTCTCCTAACATCTGGAGACATTTCCCCAAATACTGGCCTGCCATATTTTTCCTTTGACCAACACACCCAGCACCCCCTATCCTCAAACAGCGGCCACAATCCACACAATCTGGTTACTATTCCTCTTCTTTACTACTCCTCCCTCAAAGCACTTTTCAGGTTCACATTCACCTCCCTCTCTGTCCCTCTCTCCTTTGAAACTCACTGTATTTGTCAATTATCTCCAGTTTCTTTAAGAATTGCTGTGATATGTCAGCCTCCTGGACTGGTATTAAGCTTCCTTGATGACTTCTCTGCCTGGCTACCTCACTTTCTCTCTTCTGAAATTCCCACAATTATTCTCGGTGACTTCAACATCCCCGTTAACCTTAACAGTCCGGCTACTTCTAAACTTCAGAGCCTAACCACTTCTTTTGACCTAAAACAGTGGACACATTTGTCTACATGAGTAGACAAATGTGTCCACTGTTTTAGGTCAAAAGAAGTGTACGGCCTCCCATTGTATAATGGTAACTGCCTCGACCTTGTATTCTCCTACCTATGCACTCCTTGCAACCTCACCAACTTTCCTTTTCCTCTCTCTGATCACTCCCTTATTAGCTTCACTCTCTCCTTGGCTTCCTCCTCCTTGTCTTCCAACTACCGAATGGTTACCCATAGAAACCTTCGCTATCTTAACCCTTCTCTTCTTTTTTCTGCAACAGATTGTTTCTATGACAAAATCTCAGCTCTGTCCTGCCCCAATCTCGTATACTTCTGTCTACAACAATTCACTGTTATCCTCCCTGGACACATTGGCCCCCCCTCACTACATACAGAATTAAGCCCCAACAACTACAGTCCTGCCAAACAGACAATACCAGATGCCTTAAAAAACATAGCCGTGCTCTTGAGCATTTATGGCATACGACTAAGACCCAGCAAGACTTCAACCAATATAAATCTGCCCTTCAAAAATACAGTTCCTGTCTCCACACTGCCAAACAGACCTATTTTATGACCCTCATTAACACCCTCTCACGCAGTCCGTCAACTCTTTTCATCCTTTAACTCTCTACTTCATCTTTCATTACCTCCACCCACTAACTCACTCACTGCCCAGGAGATCGCTAATCACTTATAAAATAAGATTGACACAATTTGTGATGAGATCTCCACTGTACAGATATCTCCCTCACCCTACACTCCTTGTCCACCTGCACAATCAGTACTTCTCTTGTTTAAACCAGCTACTATAGAGGAAGTTGGTAAACTTTTTTCTAAAGCCCACCTAACCACCTGTCCCCTGGACCCTGTTCCCTCACAAATACTACGGTCAACCTCTGGCTCTATCCTTCACTTTTTAACTCATATCTTCAATTTCTCCCTTTCTTCTGGCATCTTCCCCAAGCCTCTAAAACATGCACTAGTCACCCCCATACTTAAAAAGGCCTCACTAGACCTCACAAGTTTTATCAACCTAAGACCTATCTCCGTATTCCCTTTTACCTCCAAACTCCTTGAATGTGTAGTCTACAAGAGGCTGAGCTGCCAACTCATTGAGAATAACCTTCTTGATCCTCTTCAGTCTGGATTTCGCCCTCAACACTTCACAGAAACTGCTTTCCTAAAACTCACAAACGACTTACTAACAGCTAAAACCAATGGTCACTATTCCGTACTCTTACACTTGGACCTTTCCGCTGCCTTTGACACAGTTGACCACCCCCTCCTCCTCAAAAAAAACCTCTATTTACTTGGCCTCTGTGACTGTACTCTCTGTTGATTCAAATCTTACCTATCTCAACGCACCTTCAGTGTCACTTACAACTCTGCTTCCTCCTCTCCTACTCCTCTTACCATCGGGATTCCACAAGGCTCTGTCCTTGGACCTCTCCTATTCTCGATCCACACTTCTTCCCTGGATCAACTGATGGTTTCCAATACCATTTCTATGCTGATGACACACAAATCTATCTCTCTGCAGCTTAGCTCACCCCATCCGTTTCCTCACGTATCAGTGATTTACTAACAGACATATCAATCTGGATGTCACACCACTTCCTAAAACTCAATCTATCCAAAACCGAGCTCATAATATTTCCTCCCTCACGTCTCTTCCCTGATTTCTCAGTCAAGATCAATAGCACAACTATCAACCCATCCCCGCATGCCATGGTGCTAGGTGTAACCCTGGATTCTGAACTATACTTTCAGGGTCACATCCAATCCCTGTCCAAATCATGCCGCCTCAACCTCCACAACATTTCCAGAATATGCCTCTTTTTAACCAATGATACCACAAAGCTCCTAATTCACTCCCTGGTTATCTATCGCCTTGACTACTGCAACTCCCTCCTCATTGGCTTACCTTTACATAGGTCATCCACCTTCAGTCCATCATGAATGCTACTGCCAGGCTCATCCACCTTATCAACTGTTCAACTGCTACCCCTCTTTGCCAATCCCTTTATTGGCCTACACTCGCCCAACAAAATTCAAAATACCAACAATTTACAAAGCCATCAACAACTCTGCCCCCAGCTACATCGCCAACCTGGTCCCAAAATATCAACCAAACCGCTCTCTTCGATCCTCCCCAGACCTTCTGCTCTCTAGTTCCTGTGTCACCTCCTCCCATGCTCGCTTCCAGGACTTCTCCTGAGCTTCTCCCATCCTATGGAACTCCCTACCCCAATCTGTCAGACTATCTCCTAATCTATTCACCTTTTGACAATCCCTGAAAACCTTCTCTTTAAAGAAGCCTATCCTGCTTCTAACTAGCAAACTGCTTTTTACTTCCTCCTTTACTTCCTCCATGAGCTCTTCCCCCACAACTATTACCTTTTGTATCACTCAACCCTTCCTCTTAGATTGTAAGCTCTAACGAGCAGGGCCCTCTGTTTCCTCTTGTACCAAATTGTATTGTAACTGTAATGTCTACCTTCATTTTGTAAAGCGATGCGCAAATTGTTGGCGCTATATAAATCCTGTATAATAAAAGTAATATTCACCTTCCCAATGGTCTTTCACTGGCATTGGCATCTTCTCCTAAGTGCAAGTTTATGGCCATCAACATTGTTCGGTGCAGGATGACATCACTCCCGCGCATGCACAAGAGCTAGTAATTCTGGCAAACAGGGATCGGACTAGCTGCTGTAAGCTGAGCTACAGTCAAAATGGAATTGTTCATTAATAAAGTTAATCATGTACTTGTTTAGCTAGCTACAACGTTTAAGCCTAGTACACATGATCAGAAAATCATACAAAAATACCTCTTTCAAAGCGAACCACAATAATCTGATTGTTAGTACACACCTTTCATCTGAAATTGTTCAGAAGGACAAGCATAAATGTTTTCTCATACGATACAAGATTGTACAATTTCTGTTTAATCAGCAGAGTTTGTCTCCAAAAATACATTACAATACATTACATCACTTCCGAATTTTTATTCTGTCCCTACGAGAATTTTCATAACTTTTTAATTATCGATATGAGACTAATATGCAAAAAAAAAAAAAAAAAACAGAATCATTTGTCCGATATTCTCATTGTGCATACCGGGCTTTAGTCTGTACAGTCTATTTAAAATGCAGCAACCCAGCAGCTATTGCAGAAAGTACAGTGATAAACAAATCAAATTGCAAACGCATTTAGCGTAAAATATTTTTAAAAACCTCATTCGACACTAACCTTTCGATTGAGGGATGTTACACTTTTTGCAACTGCCAACGTGTTGAAGGTTTTTGGAAAAGGCAAAAATTCTGTGTAATAAAACTAGTTAGGACTCTGTCACCCAGCTTAAAAAAAACCCCTGCAAGGTAACAGCATCACATACTATGAAAGACTTACCTTGAAATGAAGCCCTCCAGCGTTCCATTGTCATCACAGCAGAGGCTTCCATCATCACCTGGGCTTCCTTCTGGGCTCGCAGGCTGCGGCCACTTGAATGGACAAGCCGTGAAGACATCACTCCCGAGCATGCGCCTGGGAGTCACGGCAGCAGCACAGACCTCTGAAGGAATATGCCGTTCCTTTAGAGGGTATGCCGTTCCTTGAGAGCGCATGTGCTCATGATTTCAATGGCTGTTGCTCACTAGAATATCCCCTAAACAGTGTACATTTAGTAGATAGTCATTTACCCTACAGGTAAGCTTTATAAGCTTTCATATAGGTTAAAATAAATATACAGTTTACTACCAGTTTAACATGTACAGCATGGTGTATACAGTGCAGGGGTCAGGAGTATAGTGTACAATATAGCAAATAGGGCTATAGATAATTTCTTGGAGGGGATTCCTCTTTTTAATTATATAAAATTTACAGGCATCCAGAGGAAAAAAAGAGGTGGTGCATGCACTACGCCATGACAAATTGTGGGTGTGGTACAATCATTTTCTGCCTTCTGCTAGCTCTTTCTTTGCTCCAGCACCAGACCAGAATTCAGTTTCACCCCCACCCTCCCATACTTCCTTGCTGCATGCAGGCCCAGAATTATGCTCCATTGCTTTGAGGTTAGGGAACAATTTGCAAATTAATTAATTAGCTGCGGCTGAATTTGCATATGAATGAGCCAAGATAGGATTTTCAAATAAAATATGCTGGATTTGCATATGAATAAACTGTGGGTCCAATGTAAGGGCCAGGGGTGGCAGATTCAGTGAATCTCTAACAATGACCCTGGGACACAGCTGTAATGTGACAGCTGAATTGAAAAAAGCAGGACTGTCCCAGCTGGTAAGTATGCATAATGTGATGGGCAGCCTCACTAATCAACACAGTGAATTTAGTGGTGGGAGGAACAAACATTCATCTTTTTAAATAATTACTATTATCATTTGAACATACAGTTTAGTGCAAAGGTTTAATTCAAAGGGACTATTCCATAGAGCTGTGGTTGATGAAACACATTCATATGAAAACGTCTTTGTATTCCAGGTACAGAGCAGTTGCATCCTGGAGCCGAGTTCAGGGCAATGGAATCCCACTTATTACAGCAATTGAAATAATCTCCATCTGGGTCCTTTCATTTGTGCTGGCAATCCCTGAGGCAATTGGATTTGTCATGGTGTCCTTTGACTATCGGGGTGAAACATTACGAACTTGCATGTTTGATGCTAGCTCTCCTTTCATGGAGGTATGTATATGTTCTTGTTTTATGTGCAGTCCTCTGCAATATTTTACCTGTGACACATGGCCATAATCAAGGAGTACTCTAAAATGGAGAAACAATTAGAATTCACTTTGCCGAAGACCTGTACATGAAACATGAGGATTAGCACTTAAGAACTAAGAAATCTTTACTGAATAAGACAATAGTAGAACTGTATTATCGTTACATTAGTATATTTTTCTCACCTTCTGTCTCTTTTCTTTCTTGCTCTTCCCTGCTCTTGTGGTATATTAGCCTGAAGGTGAACGGGCCGTATCCTAAACATCTAAGCTAACAATAAGTCCCCTATAATAAATAATGTTTATCTATGGCCAAACTGTTGAATTACACTGTATATTAATTTCCACGTTGTATTTCAGTTATTTATAGTCTAATCATATTAATCCGAACTATCTTGAAGTTTGTAAACTTACTTTGTGATGATCTCCACAAATTTACTTCCTTGAATTCTGTGACATGTATTCACTATGCCCTGTAAGTAGGCACGGCGGTGTCACACATTTCACAGAGCCTGCCTTCTGAACTACAGAGCAGGGGCGGACTGACCATTTGGAAACTTGGGCACTGCCTGAGGGCCCGGGGTCACTAGGGGGCCCCATGAGATGCCCCTGGTACCTTTTTCATAGGCTTTTTTGAGTTTGGGCAAGGACACAGGGGCCCCATGATCCCCTATTGCCTGGGGGCCCCATGAGTTGTCAGTCCGCCCCTGCTACAGAGGTGCTGAGAAGAGGAGTTTCAGGGGGTGGAGTCAGTACAGGAATCACTGCTTGCAGGCAGCAAGGTACCATGGGATATGTAGTCTTTGGAAATTGAGGGGAAGCTGCAAAGCATATAGGGAAACCAGGAAGTTGTGGAAAGAGACAGCCAGAAGGCAATCAGCACTCACAACATGAAAGAAGATTTTTCAAGTAAGCTTATAAAGGATTGTCAAATATAACTACTGTTTGTATTGTTGTTACAATGCTGATGTTATGAAATGAAAGTGCATGCTCTGACCATAGAACTTCTTTAATATGAAATAAATAAATCTGCTGTCCTGTTCCTGTGGATTTCAGGCAACCCTTGCCCCTCTGCCACCCCCATCCTTTAATAGTTTAATGAACAGGCAAACACAAATGCTCCTGCGCTTGGGGATGGACTCGATGCAGGCTACAACCACATAAGGAATGTCCTGGAACATGCACACCTTGCTGCCCTCAAATGGACCGGGGGAATCCAAATATACTGAATGAGGAAAGAAAAAACAGAGGGTGCACAGGCCTAATGCATTACCATAAAAAATGTTTAATAAAAAATAAAGTAGGTGTTGTACTCACAAACGCCAATATAGTCAAGGCACATCATAAAGAACACCTGGGTCAACACCGCGCTGAGTAACAGTCCGCAATAGGGAGTATAGACATCCAAAAGGCTGACACGTTTCGAGGACCTGCCTCTTCCTCAGAGCCAGACTGTTACTCAGCGCGGTGTTGACCCAGGTGTTCTTTATGATGTGCCTTGACTATATTGTCGTTTGTGAGTACAACACATACTTTATTTTTTATTAAACATTTTTTATGGTAATGCACTAGGCCTGTGAGCCCTCTTTTTTTCTTTCCTCATTTAATAGTTTAATACAAGAGCCTCTACTGATTGCTGCGTTTATAGCATTGCACAGTTGATTGGCAAGGAAAGGGCATAAACCAGTTATACATGGACCAAAATTCGTCCAGTTCAGCAGAGACAGGCTGAATTTCAATGCATGCATGGGCACTGCGGCTGTACAGATGTTGATCTACCGATAGACTTCTGTAGAACCACCCTGTTGGAATTTCCCCATTTGATCAGTGCTGCAGGCTATAGCCTACAATGCTGATCAGTGTATTCTGATGTCTGTCAGAATACAATAGCTCAGTTGGGAGAATTTCCCCTTTCACGTTGAGTGTGTGGATGGGGGAATTTAGTCATTTTTTTTCGCTCAACCAGAAAGTTGAATAAAAAAACTGACTCATCTATGGATTGCTGTAGTGTCATTTTTGGCCCAACTTGGACCTGCACGCCAAGCAGCTCCACTGGAATAGAAGATCTCACAGGTCCTTTCAGGCACACATAGAAATTAGCATGAGAGATATGAAGTTGCAAAAATCCAGTATTTTGAAATCTGAAAGGTTGGTGAAAGTTACAGCACTCTAAGCCTCAGCTGCACACTGCATTGCTTTACTTAGTAAACCAACTTGTGTTTCTAGATCCACTAGCAGTAATGTGACATGCAGTCATGCAGGAAATGAAAAATGTCAGACTGAAGGTTTTCCGGATCACTAACTAGCCGCCTCTTGGTTAAACCAAACAGTCTATATTAATTCAATTGGCTCACTGGCAGTATAGATTTGTCCCACAACAGGGTTTAAAGTTCCTGCCTGCTCCAGGAGTCCAGCAGGGATCGGACAAATTTTGATCAATGTATGGGCACTGAGGTTATGCCAATTGGCTTCTGTATACCCCCTGCTGGAAAGTTCCCTCTCGATAAGCGCTGCAAGCTATGACCTGCAGCACTGATCTGAGTATTCTGACAGCAAGGGAGTCTCCCCCATCTAACTTAAATGTGTGGATAGGGGAACTGGGCCTTTTTTTTTCTTGAATCATGAAAAGAGATTCAGCTATTGCTAGATTAAGTCCAACAAACAACCCACAGCCTCCTCACACTGTGTCCTGCACTGCACCACACCTCATTGACTTACTGGCTACTTCCAGCACGTTTCAGAGCTCTCCCGCAGCCGGGTCTATCCTAAGCAATCAAAGATGCTTCTCCTGTCACCCCCCTTAAAAGGACCACAACTCAAAAATGGTGACACATATCTACCATTTGGGACTCATCCTTGGCATCCTTTACAACAGCTATTTAAAAGTGAAATAGCACAAAATTGCAAATTACAAATATGAAGTACTGATTGGCACTGGTTTTGGATGTCAGGGACATTTGATGCCTATTCTCTATGTGATGACTACTAACTTTGATTTATAAAGCACCAGCTTATTCCACAGTACACTGAGAAGGATAACAGCAATAACAGTACATCTTTTGAGCTATATGGTAGTTAAATATACGTTCTTGCTCAGTATTCAGAGAAGAATGTTATGAATCCATATTGTATTTGCCACTGCATGACAATTTTTATCTTTCACCCTCATGCATTATAGATATCTAGTACATAGGCCTTGTTACTGATCAATGTGCAGCTTATGGAACATTGACAATGACTGTACTGTGTCTAGCTAACAGGCAATCATAAAAAAATGTATTTTGTATTTAGTGACAGGAGAAGTTGACATGGGAACTTAACAAGAGAAAAATTCCCAGAGGGAAAACCTTGGTTAGCCTTTTGATAATGCTGACATGTATATTATAAGTACAAATAAAAATGACACATCAGTACAGTACAGATGCATGCTCTGTATATTGTCAGAATGAGACAGTTCTCTGAAAATACTTAGTGATGTTCGACTACCACGCCTTCATCTAAAAACATACCCCTAGAACAATGCGCTTTCATCTTCAGAGCAGCAGTCAACAGGGTTGGGGCTTAACAAGCTAAACTAACAAAGTACACGTCACACATGCTTGATTTCAGAAGTAGTAATTTGTAGTGGTTTATTGGAAGCATGAAAGGTTAAATGCTCTTTCTTTGTAATGTTAATTATTATGAAAGAGCAGACATAAAAACAATGCTGTAAGCTTTCACAAGTGTGCTTTGAAATATTACTACACTATAACACCTATAATTTACTTGGTGTACTATGTTAGATCATTAGATCATGTGGTGCACAGTTATAAAGATTGGTTATTTACAGTGACAGAATGAGAAGGAAGATGATTGTTTCTCCAGATTTTGTCTTTTGTGCCATCTTTCCTCTACTCTGGACATCTTCCGGAATCAAAAACAGCAGTAGCAGTGTGTTAAATGGGTTTGCTTAAAGATCCTCGAGCAGGAATAAACACATAGAATACAGACCCAAGATAGAGCGACAAACATTAAAGGAGATGTACAGCCAAAGCTCTTTTGTCTGTACTTCTCCTGTGGATTACAGGAGTGCAGTTTGTTCTGCATGCCAGCAGTGCCGTAGCAAAAGAAAAAAAAAAAATTAGCGGAGGGCAGACATGACTATGTGAAGAGGGGTAGGACAGACAGTAAAGGGTTAAGGTGGGAAGGTTGTACATTTAGGTAACCTGATTGGTATGTGTAGTGAGGTGGGGTCTTCGGCACCCTTGGGATTGGTGGAGGGTTGGATGATCCAGTACAGGAGTGGCAGTGGAAGAGGAAACATCTCTCCCACCCTCTCTTGGGGTTGTTTGGGTCTTTCGATTCCCAGTTTGTTCTGGCTTTGGGGGCAGTTGTTGGTCTTTGGAGGCAGCAAATAATTTTAAGCTAAAGCAAATGGTTGGGACCCATCGGTGGTATGGTGTGCCCGGGTGCATTCCAGTTAACCAAGATTTAACTGGAAGGTGGAGGTTCTGCACTGCGGATGGTGTGTTTTGTCTCCGAGCCGGAGCGTTGCAGCTGCAGGCTTAGTATTAATATTGTGGGTAAGGTTCCACAGAGGGATATCCGTTTTGTTTGGTGCCTTCTAAGACCAACAAGTTCTCCTCTCCTGCATGTTTCTGTTTTAAGGAGTATTTTTGTGTTATTGAAGTTCAGTTGTTAATAAAAGGTCGTGATGGCCATTTTACTCCAACGGTATTTTGGTCTCCTTTATTGGTATATTGAGAGTTGGGGGGAGGGGGGTATTGAGTGAAAGAGATAGAGAGAGAGTTGTGTAGGGGATGGTTCAGTAGCTATGGTTTTAACTAGCACATCTCTTCTACACTAGTCATGTGACCCATTTTCAGCTGACAGCAGGCTTAAGTCTGCTGTTGGCTGACGTCACTCAGCCGGTCCAGGCTGGGGAGAGTCTGGAGCAGCACCTGGCTCAGCCTCTCAGCGATCTGC